TATAAAAGAAATAATAATGTAAAACAATAACAAAGAATTTTAAATATTTATTTTTAAATTAAATTGATTAATTGGTTGATGTAGGTTCAGTCAAAACGGGACAATCATGCTCTTTCTCTCTCTCTTCGCTATTCATTTAGCTCCTCCCCTCTTTCAACTCTTTTTCTAAGAAAAAAATTTCTTTTTTTCTGAAAAAAAAAATTGACGTCTGTAAATGTGGATTCAAAATCAATGTCTTAAAGCAAGTAGAAGAGGAAAATGTCATGCAATCATTTGCGACCACTGCTGGTTCTCGTAAAAATGTCTGGAAAATTCTCAGATGAAATGACCACTTGTGACGAGTAAACAAAAATAACATTTGATTTACTTGACATGGATGATTTTTTCGATAATAATACCCCTTCACAGTGAACTAATTCGCACTACGTTCTGGAGAGAGTGGAACGGGGACGAACGGAATATGAACGGAATGGGTAGACACCGAATACAATCTTAGTACCTATGAACGGTATGAACGGGCAAGGGCAAGGGTAGTCCAGAACGTCGGCCATGTTTAAAATTCGATTCCGTTCTACCCGTTCAAAAATAGGACTGGGTAAGATCGTATTTCGAACGAGATTGCCGTACTGCGAACATGGAACGAACGGATTAAAAACGAGCTGAACGACGTACGGACTGGGGAAATTAGGAGTCGATCCAACACCGATGTTGTTACGTTTCACCCCGTCCTGCCCGTTCTCAGACAGAAAAATGAGAACAGACTAAATAGAGTATTATAGCAGATCGGGCTGGAACTTAATCCATATCCCCAATGACGTGTTAATGATTGCCTAAGAACGCAGTGCAAACGGGTTTGAACGGATACGTCGTAGTGCGAACCGTGTAGAAACGTCCTAGAACGGGTTGAAACTTACTGTGTTCGGGGTTAAACGAGTTGAGGGCGGATTGGAACTTGTTAAGAATGAATTGCAAATGACATTGAACGTAAACGAGTTGTGCGAACGTTGTACAAACCGTCTGCAATCGTAATGCACTTACTTCAAACTGTGTTGCGTCGTAGTAAAAGCCAAAATTGCACGTTTGAACCCGTCCTCATCCCATTTCATGAAATTTTATGAACGGGCAGAATCGTTCTTCGAACTAATTCAGTTTAACTTTTAAAATATGTGTTTAAGTGGTGGTTGTGATTGTCCCGTTATTGTACGTTGTAATTAACTGTATGTTATAGATTTTTTGGTATTTTTTTTTCGTATTGGCCCCGTGGAAAAAATACAATACTGAACAGGTTTCAAGTATGAAAAAGAAATAAATACAAATTGTCTTGGATTTGAATATCGATCTCGTAGAACTGCGACAATCAGAGTGAGAGATAGTATCGGTGAAATGGGCAGATACATCGGGAGAATCAGTGTATGTGTTCTTTAGTGTGCCCATGGGCTATGTTGTACACAAGGCCAAAGACCAAACGCCTTCTATAATTAGGGATAAGATAAGATAAGAATTACTTAGAAAATTTGAAAAGCACAAACACTAAAGTAACTGTCTGTTTGAGGGCGTTCTCCGATAAGTATGAGTAGGTTGGTCAGTGTTTTAGACTAGTGACTTGCGGTTTCTTATCTCATTTCTCAGGCCTATCTACCGGTATATAATTTGTTTAAATAAGTTTAAAAGTGCATTGTTGGTATTAGTGTTGGTCTTTATCAGGTAAAACAATTAGATAGTTCAATACATTCTATGATTATCGAAGAGGCCTATGTTTATTTATCCAGATTGAAGTATCCCAATTGAAGTTCTACTGTAAACCCGACTATCATATAGCCTACACACACACGCCCACACACACACACACACACACACACACACACACACACACA